AAGGACTTTGGGACCTCTCTCCAACCTCTCTCTCCCCTCCACTCCCATTTCCTCCCTCCCTCCCTCCCTCCCCCCCACCTCTCTCTCTCTCACACATACACACACACACACACACACACACACACACACACACACACACACACACACACACACACACACACACCCACACCCGCCTAAAGTACCTGCCAAATAATGATTAGCTAAAAATAAGGCAACCCTATGCAATACAGCTTTGGAAACATTAGGTATAGAAATCATGTTAAGGAGAAACGGATTTTTGACGTTTTGGGGGAGGGGTTGTTTTTAACTATGACAACTCTTTAGCCCCTCGTCTTCTTTTCGTTATCGAGCAGCGTTTTTGTCTTGCAAGCGTTGCTTCCGCGCCAGCCTCACTGTCAGCCCCACGCTACTGTCGCACACCCCGGCGACGACTCCTCGGACGGGGACTCGGTCCCTTTTCCTGCCCTGCACGGTGCATCGCCGCAGACTCCTTGCGTCTCCCGAAAGTTCAGGCCGAGCTCCCCTCCCAGTCTTCTTCCTCACTCAAAAACCCGTGAAGACGGAGCAGCGGTCTGTTCTGTTTTTGTTTCCTACGAACAAAGAGAAAACCCGGGCCTGGCAGCGTTTTCTCAGCGAGCCCAGCCCTGAGCGAGACGCCCACCGCTCGCCAGCTCGACGCTCCTGTGACTGCACCACGGGGGACTGCGGGGGCACCGGCAAAAATCCATTCGCCCGTCAAGTGAACTCGGTCGGCCTAGAGCCGGAGGCCGGGGCTACGGGGCGACATCCTGGGGCCCTGCGGCTTCCCAGGGCCCCCGCATAGCGGGGTAGGGGCTGGGAGACCCCCGGTCCCGGGCTCTGCAGAAGGCTGCCGCGGAGCCGGCGCCTGGAAGCGGGCTCTCGGGGTCCCCGCAGCAGTCACGTGTCCCCCGCCGCCGCCCGCAAGTCCTGCTCCTGCCGCCGCTGCCGCCGCCGGGGTGCGGGAGCCATCGCGCCCGGGAGCCGAGGGCCTGCAGCGGCCGGGCTGCCCCGAGGTACGGGCTCCAGCCCCTCCTGCCAGTCCGCGCGGGCCTCGGAGGCCACAGTCCTGTCCCCGGTCGCGGGGCGCTGTCGGGGCTCCCAAGGGGGCGGGGTGGGGCGGTCGACAGCAGCGCCGCTGGAAAAACATCGGGCTCGGGGTGGCGGAAAAGGCAATGGGCAGGCACGAGGGGAGAGCGGGGAAGACTTTCGTGCCGGGCGCGTCCCGCCAGTCCCCAACTCACCCGGGATGGAGCAGGCACGGGCCGAACCGGGAGCAGAGGGTCCGCGACCCGCGCAGGAGCCTGGTCGGGGCGGTGGGGTGCGCGGGTAGACAAAGCTTCCCCCTGGACGGACGAGCCCCGGGTGCAGCCCGGCTGCTGTCGGAGGCTGACGAGCGGCCGCCAGGGGTACCAGGGCTGAGCCGCAGCCGAGCTCCGGCGAGGTCCCGGGAGAGCCCGCGGGGCGCCACTCGGACCGTCCAGCAGCCGCGCCGTCCCGCAGCTGGCTCGAGACCGGGCGAGGCGGCTGCACTCTGAGGTTTGTGCTCCTGTTTGCAAGGTGGCCTCCTATGACAAATGCATACTCGTACATCCATACATTTCGAATTCCGGAGAAGGGAATTCTTATCCCCACGTTTGCAGACCTTTAGTTTATATTTTAAAGGAACTGAGGCATTGTGTTGGACGGAAGCCAAAAAGATTTTGTCAAAGATCATGGAAAAATAGCTTAAGACTCTTCCAAAAGAATTTGCAGTCGGAATGCAATTTTAAATTTCAGATTTCTCAAGGGAAGAGAAACTCTGCTGTTGAAATTGAGAAGGAGGGGTGGTGCGTGCCTGCGTATTTGTCAGCTGAGCAGAGCTGTACTTATCTTTTCTATTCAAATTTTGTCAGATTATGGCTTTAAGAGTAAATCATGGGAATATTTGGGAACGAAGGTCCAGAATCACAGCAAAATAGGAAATTGTTGATTTATTATTGCTAGATAAAAAAAAATGGCATATATTTTATTATTTTTTTTTTGTAATTGACAACCTTTGTGAGAAGAACGATGTTCATTTTCATAAGGCAGTAAATGATCCTAACAAAAAAATCCCCTTACTTAAATGCGTAAGTCAGTCTTTTAGTATCTTTTGACTTCCCTGCAGTTCCTCCTATTCTTTTAAAGAATTGTTTATTTTCTTAAAATATTTAAAGTCTATTCAGCAGATTTCATTTGTCTACGTATCAGATATAGATCAATTTGTAAGGAAATTGCAATAAATCTTTACAAAGACATTGCTTATTTAACTGTTACCACAGTTTAAGGAAGAACTTTTTTTTTTCTTTCAGCTTTTTACTCAGAGAATTAAACTTTAGTGTTTCAGCCTGAAAATTGTGAGGGTGGGAGATAAAACTACATACAAAAGAGAATAGTAATTAGGCACAACAAACACGGTCCGTATCAGATTTCTTTTCAAGTATTTTATTTTTAAAACTTTCTCTGTTTGGTTATATTTCATAGTATCTATAGCAATCTGAGATTAAGGTTCACCTATGACATTACTTTTATTATGTGTGAAATATTTATGTTGCATAAAAGTGTACAGCATTCATTATAACACTTGTTGAAAAGCAGAGAATTATTAAACATTTCCATTTCCATTGCAGGTTTGCTTATCGTGCTTTTCAGGAAAAAGGAAGTGAAGAGGTAAGTTTGGGGAAAGAAAGTGCTTTTTAAAATTATTGTATTAAAGTGGTTTCTCTACCTTAGATTTTCAACTTTAAAACACAAGACATAAATCTTACTGGACAAAATTATTTTTAATATTTAAACTATCTCCTGACTACTAGAAAGCACTTTGAAGGAAGCTGCTTAATATGTCTATTTCCCCTCCCTAACCCATCCCCCATTTGCAATATCCATTATTTAGTTGCGAGAAGAAATTATTCATTTGAGCAAAGACTCATAGAATGCTCATTTCGTGCAAAGTACTATATTAGGTGTTCTTTGTGTGTGCATATGTTTGTATGGTAGATGGGGCTAGAGGACGAGCAGGGAAAAGCTGACTATACAGTCACACCAGATAAAATGAATAAATGAATGTCAAATGAATGAATGTTAGGAGAGAGAAAAACATAAGAAAAAAAGGATAATTTACTAACCAATATATGAATAGGTACAGAAGTATCCCTTATATTTTCAGCAGAAGGGCCAAGTGTCTATGCTGTAGTAAAAAGAGTACATTCCTGGCAGAAAGGAGCATGCCGTTCATTCATTCATTCAAAGCCTTTTATATCATAGGCAGTCTACAGTTACTGATAGAATCCCTTAGAGATTATTCCTTATATAGTATCTTGTATTGGCCATCTTTGGCCATCAGAGCAGAGCACCTACACAGTGATGACTAATTGTCCTATTTGAAACTTGCTGTATGTAAAACTGAAGTTAAACTTATTTATGATGAACTTATGTACCTAATAAGATTTCCTGTCTGGAAATTTACTGGACCAGCACCTTTATGTTCTGCATAAATCGAAGACAATAATGTTTACTATTAATTTAAATATACATGCATTTTTATAGTTTTAAGTACAATTATTCAATTATGTATCTAGAAATAAGTGGATAAATATATATTGAAATGTAATAAAAGTGGCTTTTTAGCTACAAATATATCAGGATCTCTGTAACAATGTATATTCTTCAGAATATAGAAGAACTATTGCTGTCTTGAGTTACCTGTAGGAAATTCTTGGTAAAACAAATGACTGTCTTTATGTTTTTAAAGGGGAGGAGGGGCTCCTTTTGCAGCTTATTGATATGTTATAGGCAATTTAGTGTTTAATCAGGCAGTACCATCAAATCTCTAATATTTACAGGTAAATAAGTAATACCATTGTGGTGTGACTTAATGTTGCTTGAAATGGAAAAACTTACTATGGGGTGTTATATTAGCATCACTTCTACATTTAACTTTAAGATATAATGTTTTCCTTAAACGATATGAAATAACTGACTATTTTTAAAGCTGAAATGCATATACAATTTTTAAGTTGAAAAATAAACAGGTAAATTTTGCTTTTCAAAATTTTTTTTTTTCTTTTTTTTGTCTTTTGTCTTTTTCCGTGTCCGGCAATGGATTGCAACCCTCAGTGCGTTGCTGATCAGTAAGTGGTTGTTCTTATTCATGATAATCTGGCACATCTCAAAGCACTGAGAATTATTATGTAATGATTTTGTCATCCTGCATTGTGTTTACGTAGGCAACAGTACACTTTGATAAACATGTGTTGAGTGCCTACTATAGACACCTAGGTCCTGGGATATTGTTCCTACACTTTAAGAATCTTAAATTTGAACACTGCGTGAACTAGATAATATTGAGGTTACTAGATTTTTGTTTGAAGTTTTTATTCTCCCATAAATATTTAACACCATTGGTGAAGTTATTATGCCATGTACTTAGATGGGTACCATGGTGAGTAAGGGTCAGTTTCTGCTTTTCCATTAATTATAAACCAATAAGATAGACTGGCAGGCATTATAATTGCACTGTGAAGCAGATTGCGATATGTAGCCTCAGACAGCTACGGACAGACAATTATGGGAGTTTTGAAGAGGAAATCACATCCAATTGAGTAGAGTATGGAATACTTTAGAACAGATGGCTTTTAAGTTTGGCCTTGACTCAGGTAGGAAAAAAGATGATTTTAAGGTAATATTATGTGACTACACAGCGTATCATGAATCTTGACTAGAGAACGATATTAATGAGCTGTTGCAAATTATGTATCATGTAATTCTTATTTACATTCTCCATTTCCTTTTCTTACATTATTTCCTACATAAATTTTTAAAAAATAAGGTCTTGTACTTTACCATAAGTTAATCCAGCATAAAAATGACGATAGACTTAAACATACTGTATTTGTTATTGTTGATATTTTCAGCACTCTTGGAACCAAAGACCTCACTAAACTTTCTTAGGAGATTAATACGGTAATGGGATAAAATTGTAAAATTTAGTTTTCCTCCGAATAGATTAACTTATAGTATTCATGTGATTATTTTTTCATGTTGCTAACGAATGTCTCTTTTTTCCAAGCAGAACTATAATATGGATTTAGAGCTCAAGGACTATTATAACAAGACACTTACCACAGAAAATAATACTGCTGCCACTCACAATTCTGATTTCCCTGTCTGGGATGACTATAAAAGCAGTGTAGATGACTTACAGTATTTTCTTATTGGGCTCTATACATTTGTAAGTCTTCTCGGTTTTATGGGGAATCTACTTATTTTAATGGCTCTCATGAAAAAGCGTAACCAGAAGACTACAGTAAACTTCCTCATAGGAAATTTGGCCTTTTCTGATATCTTGGTTGTGTTATTTTGCTCGCCTTTCACACTGTCTTCTGTCTTGCTAGATCGGTGGATGTTTGGCAAAATCATGTGCCATATTATGCCTTTCCTTCAGTGTGTGTCAGTTCTGGCTTCAACTTTAATTTTAATATCAATTGCCATTGTCAGGTATCATATGATAAAACGTCCTATATCTAATAATTTAACAGCAAACCATGGCTACTTCTTGGTAGCTACTGTCTGGACACTGGGTTTTGTGATTTGTTCTCCCCTTGCAGTGTTTCACAGTCTTGTGGAACTTCAGGAAACATTTGGTGCAGCATTGCTGAGCAGCAGGTATTTATGTGTTGAGTCGTGGCCATCTGATTCATATAGAATTGCTTTTACTATCTCTTTATTGCTAGTCCAGTATATTCTCCCCTTGGTTTGTCTAACTGTAAGTCATACCAGTGTCTGCAGGAGTATAAGCTGTGGATTGTCCAACGAAGAAAACAGACTAGAAGAACATGAGATGATCAACTTGACTCTTCATCCATTCAAAAAGACCGAGTCTCAAGTGAAACTCTCTAGCAGCCGTAAATGGAGTTACTCATTCATCAGAAAACAAAGAAGGAGATATAGTAAGAAGACGGCATGCGTGTTACCTGCTCCAACAAGATCTTCTCAGGAGAACTATTTGAGGACACTTCCAGGAGACTTTGGCCCTGTGAGAAGTCAGTTCTCTTCCTCCAGTAAGTTCATACCAGGGGTCCCTACCTGGTTTGAGATGAAGCCTGAAGAAAACTCAGATGTTCCTGAAATGAGAGTAAAACGTTCTGTCACAAGAATAAAAAAGAGATCTCGAAGTGTTTTCTACAGATTGACCATATTGATATTAGTGTTCGCTGTCAGTTGGATGCCACTACACCTTTTCCATGTGGTCACTGATTTTAATGACAACCTTATTTCAAACAGGCATTTCAAGTTGGTGTATTGCATTTGTCATTTGTTAGGCATGATGTCCTGTTGTCTTAATCCAATTCTATATGGATTTCTTAATAATGAGATTAAAACTGACTTAATGGCTCTTATACACTGTCTTCATATGTCATAATTCTCACTGTTTACCAAGGAAGGAACAAACATTGGGATAATCTAAAATGTATTCCTGATAACTATGTATGTATAGTAAGCAAATTTTGTTAACATATGGAGTTTAATTTATGTGAAAGAGTTCTGGATTTGTATGTCGGTTTATAATATATGGAAGATAATTTTAATGTGTTATAATATGATTAACTTTTGTCCAAAGTCGGTGTCAATTTGGTCTGTAATTTTATTTTAAAAAGTGATTGTGTTGCCTTCCATTTCATGTTGTCTTATAAATAAATGAGTTGTATTTTTTGTTTAAAATAAAAGTCATATTTAACCAACTCAGTACTTTTGTCCAAAACTATAATAACCAAAAATATTTTTTTCTGAGGAATATTTAATTTCAAATTTGAGAAATTCCTATTATTTATCTATCTTCATTTTTACTCCACAGGCTTATTAGTGTTTAGTTTGTGAAATCACAGAAAACATTTAGTATGCCCTGAAAATCATAACTAAATGAAAAATATATGTCCAAATCATGACTATAATTTTAAACATTGGGTACAGTTTTGGAAATCCTATAAGAAAATGCTTATTTACTATTATTAAGAATTGGTCAAATTGTCAATTTAACTCCACTGTCCCAGTAATACATAATTAATTTACCAAACAAAGACAGATTTTAAATCTTTTCTAGATTTATACCACAACATTACACATTATCAAATAAAGGTTGTTTTCATATACACTTTTTATATTCTAAAATATGAAGTCTAAATAAGTATCTGTATTTTCAATTACTAAATAATTTTAAAGAATACTTAAAATGTCCACAGAAAATAAGATTAGTTAATTTTTGAACAAAATGTACAATGAATAATATCCTATGTGCTATCTCAGTACTAAAATTTCACATGCTATCCTACCAAATAGAGGACAATCTTAATTATAGGAACTTTTGGGGTTTTTTTGTTTTAGCAGGGTTTTTTAAAGAACTGAGCCCCTGAAAAAAACAGAGTATTTGCACATATGGCTCAGATGTGCAAAATCTTCAGTTCCTATAACTGAGTTAAACATTTCCTTGTTTTGATTCCTATTCATAAGGGACAACAACAAAACAAAACAGGCAAACAAAATCCTTTTAGTTCAGCCAGTAATAGGTAATTCTGGAACATATTTAATCAATTAAAAGTCCCAAATCTCTATGGTTTTTTAGTTATTTTTTTCTGCCCCTTTCCACCTTTCCTTGATGTTGTCTGCACACAGAGGATGTTGAGGTGATCTCATTCCCTGGGGAAATGATGCTGGATCCTGCCCAAATCCAGTTGTCTGTTCTCCGTGTTACATTAGTCTCCTCCTCTGCTATATAATGTACAGTCTGTTCTCAGCAAGATTAGGGCCTGAGTATCCAGCCCCTGAATCCCACCCCTCCTTCCATGGGGGGACTTAAACTCCCATTGACTTAAATTCTCATTGACTGAGTCTCAGTCATGTCTCCCAAGCTTTTATTTTTTTATCCTTTAAATTATTATTTTTAAAAAAATTTTATTGAAACATATTGATTATACGTATTTATTGGGTACAGAGTTGTACTTCAATACATGTATGCATTGTGTGCTGATCTATTCAGGGTAATTAACCTATTCATCATAGTATAAATTAATCATTTGTGATGTGCACATTTGATCTCCTCTCTACTATACATTTAGTTACATACAGGAAATCATTATTGATTATAGATTTCTGGGTTGACTGCACACCGATAGGGCTTACTTTTCCACTCTCACTGTACTTTTGTGCCCATTAATCAGCATCTTACTATCCCTCCTCCTCCCTTTCCTTTCTCCCCTCTAGTAGCCATAGTTCTTCTCTCTTTTTAATAGTTCAACTTATTTTTATTATTTATCTGTTTCTTTTGTTTCTTTGTTTTGTTTCATTATCCTTTTTTAGCTCCAACATATGAGTGAGAACATGCAGTATTTCTCTTTCTGTGCCTGCCTTATTTCACATAACATAATTTTCTCCAAGCTCATCCATGTTGCTGCAAATGGCAGAATTTCATTCTTTTTATGGCTGAGTAGTATTCTATTTTGTATATGTAGCATATTTTCTTTAGCCCATCATCTGTTGATGGACATTTAGCTTGATTTCATATCTTAACTATTGTGAACAGAGCTGTGATAAGCATGTGGGTGCAGCTATCCCTTCAACATGAGGATTTCCATTCCTTTGGGTATATATCCAGTCGTGGGATTGCTGGGTGATATGATAGTTCTATCTGTAGATGCTTGCGAAACCTTGATACTGTATTCCATAATGACTGTACTGATTTATATTCCCACCAACAGTGTGCAAGGGTTCCCTTTTATCTGCATCCTTGCCAGCCTTTGTTATTTTTCTGTCTTTTTGCTCGTAACCAACCTAACTGGGGTGAGATGGTATCTCAGTGTGGTTTTGATATGTATTTCCCTGATGACTAATGATATTGAGCATTTTTTCATATACTATTGGCCATTTGTATGTCTTCTTTTGAGAAATGTCTATTGAGCTCCCTTGCTCAAACTGGATTATTTGATTTTTACTATTGAGATTTTTGAGTTCCTTGTGTCTCTTGCTGTGCAGTCAGTCAGTGATACTGGTCCTTGTCAAGTCTGGGAACTTCACATTCATCACTGGGAACTCTGCAGAAACTTATGAAATTCTACTTCTCACATAGGTCACGTAGAACTGAGACAGACAGCTGGGGCTTATTCAAGCCTCCTCTCTGCCAGAACATGGTAAGCTGACATATCTACTCTGTCGTGTTTACCTCCCTTTGATACAATAGCACTCTGATTTTTAGTCTTTTTTCAGACTTTAAAATATGAATCTGGTCATAAGCTCTCTCTGCTTATAGCTTTCCTCTAATCCAGCCGGTGCTATATGAGTGCACTTTCCAAGTTTTTATATGATAGCTGATGGAAAAATTGAAGAAACTTGGTTCACTTTTGTGTTTCTCTTTTTCATCTCTTTTTTCACTCTAAGGATTCTACTTTTTTCTGCCTTTTAAGAATATCCCCCATGAATATCTTCCTTTTTCTCCACACCGTACCTTATAGTAAAGCTATGTTCAGAACATCAAAATTTGCTTTTGGAAAGGAAAGCTTTTATGATTAAAACCTTCCCCTTATTTCTCTTCTTCGTCTCACCATGGACAAAAAAAGAAAAGAAAAAAGAAAATGGAAAAGGAAAAGAAAAAGGAAGGAAGGAAAAAAGAAAAAAGTCTAAGCTGAAGACTGACCTAATCAGCATTCACAATTTCACTAAAGCAATCAGTTTTGAGGTTAGTTGTTAGTGGCTGCAGGGGAGAAAATCTCACTGATAAGGGCAAACTAAATACATAGAGAAATATTTTATCCTGTTAGAGTTACCCACATTAGCAAATGTACAATAACTGTCAAACTTCACAGATTTTATGGCTGTTGATAGATTAGTTAAACTAAATAAACTTATTTGAGGCTCTTAAACTATTGAACTCAAAGGAAGCAATTTGTCTTCCCCAACCAGAAATGACTGCAAATTCTTAATAATTGAAAGTTGAGAAGTTTGAATGGGTTGGTGGACAGAAGTCATTAAGATGGGGATTACTGGTTTTCAAAGGTTATTAGGAATAATGATTTCTTCCATGGAGACTGGTGAGTTAAATACTTTACATTCAGACAACTTTCCATTGCTCAAGAGCTAATTAGCTAACTTTTTTTCTATTCTCTCCTGGTGTCTGATTTGATTACTTTTTTAATAGCATCTTCACAAAACCATGGCTAGGGGAAATAAGTGGAGATGAAATTGTAAACAATCAATCCCATTTTGTAACAATTTAAAAATATTTAATTTAGGAAGAGATGTTGAGTTTTAGTTGTTATTTAAATTATTCCTTCTAGCTCTGTTGCCTAGTACTGTGGGTAATAAAACATTAGATGGAAAAAAAAAAAAAGCTGGAGAAAGCACCAAGAGCAACCAAAATGATTAAATGATGAAGAAATACCTATGAGGATTATTCTAATCAATGCACATCTATTGCATATATCCACTGTATACGAGGAACTGTTCTAGGGGCTTGGGACGTATCAGTAAACAAAACAAACCCAAAAGATCCCCGCTCATTTGAGTTTGCCTTCTAAGAGGCAGGGAGTCAGTGATAGGAGGTGGAAAAGTAATAAACAACAAGAACAATAGAAAGTGAATTATACAGCAATGGCACAGTATACAGACACATGTATTATTGCCTAAGGCTGCCACAACAAAGTACCATAAGCTGGGTGGCATAAAACAACAGGCTTTTATTGTCTCACAGATCTAGAAACTAGATGTCTGAAATCAATGTGTCCACAGGGCTATGCTCCATCTGAAACCCATACAGGAATCCTTCCTTGCCTCTTCCTAGTTTCTGTAGTTAGCCCACAATCTCTGGTGTTCCTTGCAGCTGCAAAACTCCAATCTCTGTCTCTGTTGTCACATAATGTTCTTCCATGCCCAGTGTCCCTCATCTTATAAGGAAACCAGTCATATTGGATTGCCATCCCCCCACTTCAGTAGATCCTCTTCTTAATCTAAGTAATTATATCTACAACAACCCTATTTCCAAATAAGTTCACATTCTGACGTTCTCAAGGTTAGGATTGCAACATATATTGTTTTTGATGGGGGTGAGCTGGAGTTGGGGAAGACACAATTCAACCCATAATAATACAGTAATGATTACTAGTAATGGTAAGAGAAATATAGAAAAATACAGAGCAAGGTCACAAGAAGTGTGCATGTGGCAGGAGGAAGAGAAGAGTTGGATGTAATTTCAAATGGGATGGCTCCAGAGCCATCAGTGAGAAGAAAACTTTTATGCAAAGACTTGAAAGAGGTGAGGAAGTTAGCCATGTGACTGTCAGGGAAAAGAGCACTCAATGCAGAAGGTACAGCCAATTCACAGGCCTTGAAGGGAGAGAACAATTTGAGTGTCAAAGGAACAAGAAGGAAATCACGGTAGCAGAAATTCAGTCAACAGAGGGAAATGAGGTAAGGAGCTGATTCAAGGACAGTTCTTGCAGATTCGTGTAGGCATTCATAAGGACATTCATAAGGACATTGACTATCACTCAGTAAAGTGAGGAGCTATTGTGGATATTGACCAGAGATGGGACATAATCTGACTTATATATAAAGGATCACTTTAGCTATGAGAGTAGACTGTGTTGCCCTGTCTTCTTTTATGTTGTTAGCATGGATATTGACCAGAGATGGGACATAATCTGACTTATATAAAAAGGATCACTTTAGCTATGAGAGTAGACTGTGTTGCCCTGTC